TACTGAAGCTCCACAAGAAGTATTGAAGCTTCGCAAGAAGTATTGAAGCTCCACAAAAAGTATTGAATCTCCACAAGAATTATTGAAGCTCCGCAAGAAGTATTGAAGCTCCAAAAGAAGTATTGAAGCTCCACGAGAATTATTGAAGCTCCGCAAGAAGTATTGAAGCTCTATAAGAAGTATTGAAGCTCCACAATAAGGATTGAAGCGCAACAAGAAGCACTGAAGCTCTACAAGAAGTATTGAATCTCCACAAGAAGTATTGAAGCTTCGCAAGAAGTATTGAAGCTCTACAAGAAGTACTGAAGCTCCACAAGAAGTATTGAAGCTTCGCAAGAAGTATTGAAGCTCCACAAAAAGTATTGAATCTCCACAAGAATTATTGAAGCTCCGCAAGAAGTATTGAAGCTCCAAAAGAAGTATTGAAGCTCCAAAAGAAGTATTGAAGCTCCACGAGAATTATTGAAGCTCCACAAAAAGTATTGAAACTCCACAAGAAGTATTGAAGCTCCACAAGACGTGCTGAAGTTCCACAAGAAGTACTGAAGCTCCAAAAGAGGTACTGAAGCTCCACAAGAGGTACTGAAGCTCCACAATAAAAACTGAAGCTCCACAAGTACTGAAGCTCCAAAGGAAGTATTAAAGCTCCACAAGAAGTACTGAAGTTCCACAAAAAGTACTGAAGCTCTACAAGAAGCACCAAAGCTACGCAAGAAGAATTGAAGCTCCACAGGAAGTACTGAAGCTCCACAAGAAGTACTGATGTTCCACAAGAAGTACTGAAGCTCTACAAGGAGCATTGAAGCTCCACAAAAAGTACTGAAGTTCCCAAAAAAGTAATGATGCTGCACAAGAAGTACTGAAACTCTTCAAGAAGTACTGAAGCTCCATAAGAAGTACTGAAGCTCCATAAGAAGTACTGAAGCTCCATAAGAAGTACTGAAGCTCCATAAGAAGTACTGAAGCTCCATAAGAAGTACTGAAGCTCCATAAGAAGTACTGAAGCTCCACAAGAAGTGCTGAAGTTCCATAAGAAGTACTGAAGCTCCACAAGAAGTATGAAGCTCCACAAGAAGTATAAAAGCTCCATATGAAGTATTGAATTCCACAAGAAATAATGAAGCTCTACATGAAGTACTGAAGCTCCACAAGAAGTACTGAATCTTCACAAGAAATATTGAAGCTTCGCAAGAAGTACTGAAGCTCCACAAGAAGTACTGAAGCTCCACAAGAAGTACTGAAGCTCCACATAAAGTATTGATGCTCCACAAGAAGTACTGAAGCTCCACAAGAAGTACTGAAGCTCCACATAAAGTATTGATGCTCCAAAAGAAGTATTGAAGCTCCACAAGAATTATTGCAGATCCGCAAGAAGTATTGACGCTCCAAAAGAAGTACTGAAGCTCCACAAGAAGTACTGAAGCTCCACAAGAAGTACTGAAGCTCCACAAGAAGTACTGAAGCTCCACAAGAAGTACTGAAGCTCCACAAGAAGTACTGAAGCTCCACATAAAGTATTGATGCTCCAAAAGAAGTATTGAAGCTCCACAAGAATTATTGCAGATCCGCAAGAAGTACTGAAGCTCCAAAAGAAGTACTGAAGTTCCCCCAAAAGTACTTTTTTTTTTGCAGGGATATTCCTGCGCGGACCCTAAGCCTCTGGCTGGCTCACTAAGTGTTGCTTGTTTCTGTTTTACTTGGGCGGAGTATGAGTATTTATGACTCGTATGGTCGCTTCAATAAGATTTTGCCCCATGTGTTTAACAACTTATGCTCTGTTGAATCTAAGTTGAAATCTTAATGGGTTTGTAACTGTGCACCGTGTTAGATAATGTTCCAGTGGTCTGTCGGGCATTTCTCCACAGTGCTGACATTTCCTCTCATCTTCCGGAACCTGTAAGCCTGTTTCCCATGCACATGGGTATCCAAGCCTGATGCGATGTAAATGCACTTCTGTTGCTCTACTGTTCCCTTTCATCACCAAAAGTACTGATGCTCCACAAGAAGTAATGAAGCTCCATAAGAAGTATTCAAGCTCCACAAGAGGTAATGAAGCTCCACAAGACGTACTGAAGCTCCACAAGAACAACTGAAACTCCACAAGAATTACTGAAACTCCACAAGAAGTACTGAAGCTCCACAAGAGGTACTGAAGCTCCGCAAGAAGCATTGAAGCTCCACAAGAAGTATTGAAGCTCCACAAGAAGCACTGAAGCGCCACAAGAAGCATTGAAGCTCCTCATGAAGTATTGAAGCTCCACAAGACGTGCTGAAGTTCCACAAGAAGTACTGAAGTTCCACAAGAAGTACTGAAGCTCCACAAGAAACACTGAAGCGCCACAAGAAGTATTGAAGCTCCACAAAAAGTACTGAAGCTCCACGAGAAGTACTGAAGCTCCACGAGAAGTATTGAAGCTTCACAAGAAGTACTGAAGTTCCACAAGAAGTATTGAAGCTCCACAAGAAGTACTGAAGTTCCACAAAAATAGTGAAGCTCCACAATAAATACTGAAGCTCCACAAGAAGTACTGAAGCTTCACAATAAATACTAAAGCTCTACAAGAAGTACTGAAACTCCACAGAAAGTACTGAAGCTCCACAAGAAATACTGAAGCTCCACAAGAAGTACTGAAACTCCACAAGAAGCACTGAAGCTTCACAATAAATACTGAAGCTCCACAAAAAATACTGAAGCTCCACAAGAAGTACTGAAGTTCCACAAAAAATACTGAAGCTCCACAAGAAGTACTGAAGCTCCACAATAAATACTAAAGCTCCACAGGAAGTGCTGAAGCTCCACGATAAGTACTGAAGCTTCACAATAAATACTGAAGCTCCGCAAGAAGTACTGAAACTCCACAGAAAGTACTGAAGCTCCACAAGAAGTACTGAAGCTCCACAAGAAGTACTGAAGCTCCACAAGAAGTACTGAAGCTCCACAAGATGTTCTGAAGCTCCACAAGAAGTACTGAAGCTCCACAAGAAGTACTGAAGCTTCACAGGAAGTACTGAAGCTCCACAGGAAGTACTGAAGCTCCACAAGAAGTACTGAAGCTCCACAAGAAGTACTGAAGCTCCACAAGAAGTACTGAAGCTCCACAAGAAGTTCTGAAGCTCCACAAGAAGTACTGAAGCTCCACAAGAAGTACTGGATCTCTATAGGAAGTACTGAAACTCCACGATAAGTACTGAAGCTCCATAACAAGTAGTGAAGCTTCATAAAAAGTAATGAAGCTCCACAAGACGTACTGAAGCTCCACAAGAAGTACTGAAACTCCACAAGAAGTACTGAAGCTCCACAAGAAGTACTGAAACTCCACAAGAAGTACTGAAGCTCCACAAGAAGTTCTGAAGCTCCACAAGAAGTACTGAAGCTCCACAAGAAGTACTGAAGCTCCACAGTAAGTACTGAAGCTCCACAGGAAGTACTGAAGCTCCACAAGAAGTACTGAAGCTCCACAGGAAGTACTGAAGCTCCACAGGAAAGACTGAAGCTCCACAAGTAGTTTTGAAGCTCCACAAGAAGTACTGAAGCTGCACAACAAGTACTGAAGCTCAACACGAAGTACTGAAGCTCCTCAAGAAGTACTGAAGCTTCTGTGCACGCACACACACAATACACACTCAATACAGTCACTTCTCACACACACTACACACACACACTACACACACACACACACTACACACACACACACACACTACGCACACACACACACACACACACACACACACACACACACACACACACACACACACACACACACACACACACACACACACACACACACACACACACACACACACAAACACACACACGTGAGGCCAGTCTTAGAGTATGCCGCCCCAACATGGAACCCCCATCTAAAAAAACACATAAGCAAGCTCGAAAAGGTGCAGAAGTTTGCAACGAGACTCGTCCCAGAGCTGCGAGGGATGAGATACGAAGACAGATTGAAGGAACTAAACCTGACGTTGTTAGAAAGTAGAAGGGACATGATACAAACATATAAAATACTTAGGATTGACAAAGTTTTATCAGGAAATTCTTACAAAGAATATCAATAGAACAAGGGTAAGAGAAGAACTTTTCTTTTAACGTGCGGGTAGTGAGTAAATGGAATGAACTGAAGGAGTAGATTGTAGAGGCCAACTCCCTTCATAACTTTAAACACAGATACGGTTAGGAAATAGGTCAGGAGTCATTACATTAGACAACCAACGGCTAGAAAGGCGGGTTCCAAGAGCTAGAGCTCGATCCTGCAAGCACAAATAGGCGAGTACTTTCACACGCCCTAACAAGTATACCATGCAAGGTGATGGAGAAGATCGTGAGGAAAAGGCTCGTAGAGCATCTGGAGGGAAATAGCTTTGTAACACACCACCAGCATGGGTTCAGGGATGGTCAGTCTTGCCTCACGGGCTTAATAGAATCCTATGACCAGGCGACACAAATTAGGCAAGAAAGAGAAGGGTGGGCAGACTGCATTTTCTTGGACTGTCAGAGAGAGAGACACAAGGTGACATGCCACACGCCCACACCACAATATACATCACAATACACAACACAACACAATACACACAAATCATACACTCCATACTTACCATGCCACGTTATTTATATTTATTTTATGATTAGGTTTCCTCTCTTCCTATGCACTGGTCCCTTCCCTTCTCTTCCTTTCCCTCCACTCCACTCCCCTACCCAACCACTTGGGCTGGACGGTAGAGCGACGGTCTTGCTTCCTGCAGGTCGGCTTTCAACCCCCGACCGTCCACAAATGGTTGGGCACTATTCCTTTCCCCCCTGTCCCATCCCAAAGCCTTATCCTGAACCCTTCCAAGTTGTGCCCACTCCCACCCTAGCTACCCTACCTTCTCCCTGTCCTGTCCTGTTACCCTCCGTACCCTAGCCCCTCCCTGCGCCCGGCCGGCCCTGCCTGCCGCCGGGCCGTGCCCCAGGTGAGGGCAGGAGCTAACAGGAGCGTGGTGGTCCCCGGCAGGTGGCGTGGATCAAGGCGGACACCAAGGCCATCCTGGCCATCCACAACCGAGTCATCACCCACAACAACCGCATGAACGTCATCCACTCTGACCACAAGACATGGGAGCTCAAGATCAAGGACGTCAGGAGGAACGACTCCGGAGAGTACATGTGTCAGATCAACACCGACCCCATGAAACACCAGGTGGGTACTAGTGGGGCTCCTGTTGGGTACTGGTGGGGCTCCTGCTGGGTACTGGTGGGGCTCCTGCTGGGTACTGGTGGGGCTCCTGCTGGGTACTGGTGGGGCTCCTGCTGGGTACTGGTGGGGCTCCTGCTGGGTACTGGTGGGGCTCCTGCTGGGTACTGGTGGGGCTCCTGCTAGGTACTGGTTGGGCTCCTGCTGGGTACTGGTGGGGCTCCTGCTGGGATACTTTCAAGGCTCCTGCTGGGTACTGATGGGGCTCCTGCTGGGTACTGATGGGGCTCCTGCTGGGTACTGATGGGGCTCCTGCTGGGTACTGGTTGGGCTCCTGCTGGGTACTGATGGGGCTCCTGCTGGGTACTAGCAAGGCTCTATTATGATGTTGTTGATGTTGGTCGGTTATCCGTCCTTCCTTTTGGACAACCAACCCAAAATTCCGTAGAGCGCTTATTTTGACCTGATCACCCTGGGTGCTTCTGGCACTTGGAGAGGGGCTCAGCGTCACACGTTTAGGGGATGCGGCTCCAATACTGACCTCGTTGTCACGTGCACACACCCACTCGAGCCGCCGTGACTCCCCACTCTCTCCTTATTTGGTATGACCTCAATCCCCTTTCTCTTATTATTATTCTATTCTACCCTGTCCACAGCTGTGGTTCTTTCTCTCTCTTTTCTACTTTCTGGGAAGCCTCACTAGGACAAGGGCAAACACCTTCTAGTTATAAACATTTAATATACAGAGAACATATACAAACATACACAAGATACAATAACAACTTCAACACTCTATGCTATTGCAATCAGATTGCATCCAATCCCATCAGGGCTCTATCATCTGCTTATCAAGTGGTAGCCTAACTTCTAACTCACCACTTATACTATCAGACTCACCAAGTGGGTAAATCATGCAGTACAATATGACATTACACTACCAACTCTGGAACATATAAATATCTGTAGGCAATTCAGCCTATGGCTATAATTCAATAAATATCAACATAAATATTTCTTAGCACAAAAATGATAACCAATCACCTTGTCAGTCGTAGAACATATCTATATCTCTGCAGGTAATCCAGCCTACAGTTGTAACTCTATACTTCAGTATAAATACTCCTTGGCACAAAAATGGTAATCAATCACTCACCTTTCACTGCATCTTGCACGCTAATGACAACCAAACACTCTACCAACTCCCTACAAGTAGTCAATAAGAACTTCTTTTCCACATCTGGAAGTTCACTACCCTGACATCTTCAGGTTTTCCTAGAACCGTCTACCAGGGTCATCCACAGCTCTCCCGGCTGCTACACTATGAAGTCTTCCTTGACAACAATGGTGCTCCACCACTGGTATCACAGAAGAATGTGAAACTTTTTTTTTTCATTCCACTGCTCCTCTTCTCACAGCTTGAGGTCCTGCTCCTCACTGTATGGCTGCTCTTCCACAGAGCTCAGTACGTTCCACAGCCTTGGAGTCTCATCAACTACTCCCTCTCTGCTGACTTCGAAGTTCTCAGCAACTCCTTCCCCAGACAAACTTGCAACCCATCGACATGCCAATAAAAATGTTTCCCTATATTCACATAACTGAAATGAATCACACACAATAAATGTTTCACCTGACATCTCTCTGCTTTTCGAATGCCGTGAGTGTGGACTCCCCCGGTTGGGCTGGTCCATTTTCTGCCCTCCCTGGGAGCCCTCCTCTTCCCGGGCGGCCTTCTCACCCAATCGCCCACCAGCGGTCGGAGTGGATGAATGTCGCTCCACCCTCCAGGACGTTCCTCTATCTTTACTTTCTTATTTTGGTCTTCTACCTCATCAAAACATGTCTAACATATCAATAAACATTCGCTACGGTTGCTGGGCACACGGCCAACTGCAGACAATCACTGTAAACTGGTTAAAATTGTGAGTTAGTTGTACAAGGGCGCGCCCTGGCCCCAGCGTCAGACGTTGGCGCACTCCTCAGCCCACAAAAGTGCCATTTAAACTTCTCTACAGGGCTTTTATCCTTCCTGCCTTGAGCACGAAGTCGTCTCCAGGCTTCATACAAGAACGTTTGACTAATTCTCCTCTTGGCGGAGCACGTAACATGAGATTCTTCCTCTGTTACCAAGAGCTCACAGACACTGCATCTTGCTCCCACAACATCAACTACTCGAGTGAGGTAAAGACCACTGCCTTGAGCCTCCTACCTTCCTCATAAACTCTCGACATCTCATGTCAAGTTATTTACTTATATTCTTGATCACTGCCCATATTCTTAAACTATTTATCAAATCTAACCAATTATTTTACGTATGTATCTCCATGTCTATATTTCTTTGACCTCTGATTTCGGTCAGGTCTTTCAGAATAACTCTCAAGGTAGACTCGTTTTTCAGCTGCCTGGGATCATAAGCTTCTACTGGGTACTGGTAAGGCTCCTGCTGGGTACAGATAAGACTCCTGCTGGGTATTGGCAAGGCTCCTGCTGGGTACTGGCAAGGCTCCTGCTGGGTACTGGTAAGGCTCCTGCTGGGTACAGATAAGACTCCTGCTGGGTATTGGTAAGGCTCCTGCTGGGTACTGGCAAGGCTCCTGCTGGGTACTGGTAAGGCTCCTGCTGGGTACAGATAAGACTCCTGCTGGGTACTGGCAAGGCTCCTGCTGGGTACTGGCAAGGCTCCTGCTGGGTACTGGTAAGGCTCCTGCTGGGTACAGATAAGACTCCTGCTGGGTACTGGTAAGGCTCCTGCTGGGTACTGGTAAGGCTCCTGCTGGGTACTGGCAAGGCTCCTGCTGGGTACTGGTAAGGCTCCTGCTGGGTACTGGTAAGGCTCCTGCTGGGTACTGGCAAGGCTCCTGCTGGGTACTGGTAAGGCTCCTGCTGGGTACAGATAAGACTCCTGCTGGGTACTGGCAAGGCTCCTGCTGGGTACTGGTAAGGCTCCTGCTGGGTACAGATAAGACTCCTGCTGGGTACTGGCAAGGCTCCTGCTGGGTACTGGTAAGGCTCCTGCTGTGGGAACCGACCTGTGAGATTTATATTTATTTAATTTATATGAATTTATATTTACGTTAATTTATATACTTCGATAGCAATTTGTATAATGATAAGTGGACTGTATTTCTGCAATAATCTCAATCTCACAAATCGATCCTCTACACATTAGGGGGGTTTATATTTATATATATGCAGCCAATCAAACTACAGTAATAGCTACATACATTGATGAGGTTCCTTATCTTATAGTACAGCAGGTTAGTCCACCAGGTATAACTAGGGTGTAGACACCAAATTATCCTCTTTGAGGTAGCTTCTATCACCCAGTAACTGGTGCACATAATCTTGCATCCTCGTCTTGACCTGTCAAAAGTGCGCTAGCTGTGAAGCCAGAATCCTATATATGACAAGCTATATCAGAGAAAACACTATACAGTACATGGAACATTAAAGACCTGGCTTAATTACCTTTAGTATGAGGCGATTTCGCGTTCTAACCGGCTAACCCTATATCCTGACATTAATGGCCATAAATGAATGATAAACGGGTTTCGGATAGACACTTAACTTGTATTTGTAGACAGCGTGTTGACAATGGTACACCTTTGGGTTCCATAACACTACGTCCAAGTAAATTTAACAGGAGCCGAATTTGCTCCCGTGTGAGCCTCTGGTCTCAATAAACAATGGCTGCCCTCCTTCCTCACTCAGACGCCTGGCTTACATTGTCCACATTTCAGAAAGTGATAGAAGGGTCACATTTACTCTACTTTAATATTGATAATTAAGTTAATTTATATGAGATGTTTTATGATGGTAAAGTCCAAAGACTAATGTATTTAAGAACAATTCCCAGCAGAATAGCTGGTGAATTATAATAGTATGTGGTGATGATATCCCGTTTTCTATAGACGGTAATTCCACTACAAGTTACGTTTTCTATGGGTAACTTGTTTATACAACACAGCTCTTATCTGTCTGTATGATATTATTGTTAAATGGTGTCGGATTTTCCGACATAATTCCCCAGGGGCTGCTCAAATCATTAGGTGGATGATTGTATATATATAATGTGTATAATTTTAAGTGCTAACCTCTAGTAGAGGTAGGATTATTGCCTAGTGAGTTCAGAATTTACCCTAGGCTACCATCAGAGCTTGTTCAGTATTATGAGCAGCCCAAGTACAAGCCCCACAAGGCTTCACCAACTAGCCAGGATGGATAATGCAGGGAGAATGAAAAGAACCCTTGCAGGTCTTAAAAGGCCACTTAACAAAGACAGATCAAGAAATGTGAAGATTTGTCACAACAATCTCAAGTTGATTATGCTGACCTGGAAAGCTATTATCAAGCGGCTGCAGGTAATTTTGAGCAAATCAAATGCCAAATGGCTGTCCTTGTGTGGACAGATTATTGCCATCAATTCATTGGTAGCCCTACTAAATATCAGGGTATAACCATGTTAAACTCTGCAGGAGGTAAATTACTCTCAGGTCCAGTATCAATCCTGAGGAGACCTATGCCTGCAGATAAACCATGTCGGAAAATCCGACACCATTTAATAATCATACAGATAATAGCTGTATTACCAACAAGTTACCCATAGAAAACGTAACTTGTAGTGGAATTACCGCCTATAGAAAACGGGATATCATCACCACATACTATTATAAATCACCAGCTATTATGGTGGGAATTATTCTTAAATACATTAGTCTTTGGACTTTACCATCATAAAAACATCTTATATAAATTAACTTAATTATCAATATTAAAGTAGAGTAAATGTGACCCTTCTATCACTTTCTGAAATCTGGACAAAGTAGGCCAGGCGTCAGAAGGAGGAAGGAGGGAGCCATTGTTGTGTCACCTCCGAGACGTGTGGAGCAAATTTAGCTCCTATCATTCTGGACAATGTCGGCCAGTAACGTCAATAGTATGGAGTGTTAAACAGCCATTGTGTATATACGAGACCAGAGGCTCACACGGGAGCAAATTCGGCTCCTGTT